GGGAAAGAGAGAAAGTGAGAAAGCATCCCCTTTTGGGGGCTATCACACTACAATCCCCCTTCTCCATTTTTTTCTCCTGTCAGTATTTTGGGCACACACACGTACCTGCAGTGTTTCTCAAGTCACTGGGTCAGGGATTCAAACCTTGCTGTCAGCCATGCGGGATACATCTGCCTTACTCACTGCACCATCAGCTTCTCTGTGTTTTTTTCTTTTTTTGAAGAGGTTTTTGCTATAGGGTGCGTGTGCTCGCCAGACAGACAGACAGACAGAGAGAGAGACAGAAAGACAGAAAGCGAGAAATCACCCCCCAGGGGGGATGTGTTTTTGTATTTTTTTTAAAGGTTAATTTTTCCTAAGACATTTAATTGGAAATATTGAAAAATTGGAAGTTGGCATGTTAAAATTCATGTTTTTAGTTTAAATATTTTATTTATATCAATGGCTTTAATGGAAGAAAATTCATGAATAAAAATATTTCAAAATGTACTCCTTTTAATCAAGTGATGACTTTAAATAATATCTAATTAGCAGCAGTATGTCAACAATGACTGGTTTTATTTATTTCTTTGATGTTTTTGCCTTAGGGCACGTGTGCTCACTGGGAGGGAGAGAGAGAGAAACAATGAGAGGGAAAGTGAAAATTTATCCCCAGGGGGGATGGCCACACAGCAATCCCTTCTCCACCATTCTCCTCTCGGATTCTTCTCCTCCATTCTCCTCTCAGAATTTTGGGCACGAATACACACTCATGCACCGGCAGTTTAAGAGGCAAAAAGGATAGATAAGTTCTAACTTGCATTTAATCAGAATTCCAGAAGGAACACAGAGAATACTGAAAAACAGTTGAGGGGACAAGCAGTTAGCGTAATGGCTATGTCGCTGGACTCCCACGTAGTCGACCGTGGTTCGCGTCCTGGACCCGGTGGGCCGGTGGCTTAAAACTCACGCCGGGCGCGTGTGCGTGCATGCCCAAGATCCCGAGAGGAGACTGGAGGAGAAGGGATTGCGGCGTGGCCATCCCCCCTGAGGGGTGATTTCTTGCTTTCTGTCTCTCTGTCTCTCTCTGTCTGGCAAGCGCACACGCCCTATAGCAAAAACCTCTCCAAAAAAAAAAAAAAAAAACAGTTGAATAATTTTCCCAAACTGACAGCACTGTACAGATTTAAGAAAACGCCAAAAATATCAAACAAGAAAAAACAAAATAAAACAAAATAAATGCCTACTGTGCCAGTCAGTTTCCTGTTGTTTCTCTACAAGCTCATCATCGTCTAGTCTCTATGATTGGACTGAAGCTGTAACTCCATAAACTACATTTCCCAGGCTCCTCGACCAGCTGGCTTCCTGTTAGGCTCTCCCAATGGAAGCCACTAGAGGGAGATTAGGTGGTACAGAGAGAAGGCAGCTGCCCAGTGTTTTTTTGCATGAGAGTTTTACATATTAACTCCTAAGATTTCAGAGTTATTTGCTACTGTAGCATATTCTGATGAAATACCGTCAAAATTTTTTCAAAATGGACCCTAAAACTTCATACTACATACAAAAATAAAATTAAAAGACAAGTACTATATAGTTTTAGAAAAGAACAAAGGAAATGTCTTCAAGATCTTGGGGTATAGAAAGAGTTCTTACATAAGACAAAGAGGACAGTAAAAGCAAACAAACAAACAGACAAAATACCTTGACAAATTTGACAAAAGTAAGAACTTTTGCTTCTCAAAAGACCTAAGGGAAGTAAAAAGACAAACCACAAAATAGAAGATATTATATAGAGAACTTATATCCATAATATCCACAATATATTAAAAATTCCAGGCCAGGTGGTTCAGGAAGCTGGATCCCATACCTGGCCCATTGTGCAGTTCCAGTCCAGATCTGGAGTCTGGAGAAACATCAGGATGAGTGTACGTGCGTGCCCAAAATCCCGAAGAGGGTTAAAGAAAGGACTACGGCATGACCGTTCTCACCCTCATTTTCTGTCTCTCTCTGGCAAGTGCACACACCCTCTAGCAAAATAAAATAAGTAAATAAAATAAATAAATAAAATAAATCCAATATGGAAAAAAAGAAAGAAAAATTTCAGAAAAAGTAAACCTAATGATCAATAAACATTTGAAAAGGTGTGTGACAATCATTAATAATGTTAAAATAGGTAATACAACACACGTACTGTTTTAGGTAACAAAACACTGGGTTAAATAAAAACATTTATTTCTCATCGTGCTGCAGCAGGAAAGGCCAAGATCAAGGTGCTGGTGAGGGCCGTCTTCCTGGTTCACAGCCAGCCATCTTGCTGTGTCTCATGTGACAGAGCTAGAGAGCAATCTGGGTCTCATCTACAAGGACACTGATGCCACTTGAGGGCTCCACGTTCATGACACAATTTCCAAAGGCCCCCAACTCCTCATATCACCACATTGGGGGGGTGGGGTCTCAGCGTATGAACTCCAGAGGGACACAAATGCTTGGTCCATAGCATGTACCAAGCCAGCTAAAACGCAGAAGTATGACAATACCAGATACTGGAGGCGGCTGGAGGAACGAGAACTCTCATTTACTCCTGGTGCGACTATGTATAACCATGTTGGTATATGTTACATGGTAAAGTTGAAAATTCCCACTTCTAGATAAATATGCTACAAAAATGTGTTTATGTGCACCAGGAAGCAGCTATGAAGACGCTTATCATGGCATTTTTCATTATATATACAGACTAAGACAAACTCAAATGTCTAGCAACAGCATATTGGCCATATTATGGTATAGCTTGTGATACACATCAACAAAACGGAATGAACTTTTAAAAACTAAAACTACAGCTACACAACAATATGGATGAATCTTAAAACTGATGTTGAACAAAAGACCCAAACACTCAAAAATACATAGTCTAATTCTATTCACACAAAATTCAAAATCAGGTCAAGTTGCAGTGGCGTAGGCTGCTAATACACTGTGCTCCAGAGTCTAGGACCTATGGGGATTCATGGGTTTGATTCCTGGTCCAAACTAAAGGCCAAGCACAGTACTAGGGGAGGCCGAGGAGGAAGTCTGCGGGCTTGAGGATAGCCTGGGTGACACAGTGAGACCCAGCCTGTTAGGCCAGATCTGGCGGTGGGGGACTGTAGTCCCAGGTGGGAGGCCGAGGCAGAAAAATCATGATGGCAAAACTGTCTAAAAAAAATATTAAAACAAAAAATTCAAAATCAGGGAAAATGAAATAATTACTTATTTAGAAATCTAGCCACAGATGGAAAACCTTCAAAGACAAACATGGGAATGATGATCACAAACCACCAGACAATGGCTACCACCAAGCTGCAAGGGCAGGGAAGAAGACGAGATCCGGGGGCTCACCAGGGGCTCCTGAGGTACTGACTTGAAGGTGCTCGCTTCCGTAACCTGGGTGCTGGTGACAGTGCCCTGCTCACCTTCATGTTCTTTAGAGTGTACATCTCTGAACTGTGCACAATTCTGTGTTCCAAAATTTAAAAATAAAAATCTTCAGATTATTACAACATCCCCATCATGAACATATATCTCTATGTTTTCCAAAAGACAAGCAAAGACTATTTACTCCACTTTCCAGAAAAGGACACTGAGGCTTGGAAGAGACACAAGTGTTAAAACCCAAGGTCAGAGTTTTGTCACTAAAGTATTCATTATCTAGACTGCCTGCACAGAGGCTGTGCATGGGCAACAGAAAACTTAGTAAAGACAAGCAAAGACTATTTACTCCACTTTCCAGAAAAGGACACTGAGGCTTGGAAGAGACACAAGTGTTAAAACCCAAGGTCAGAGTTTTGTCACTAAAGTATTCATTATCTAGACTCTGCCCGCACAGAGGCTGTGCATGGGCAACAGAAAGCTTAGTAAAAACACCCCAGGCTTTAAAAAAATACTCCAAATAAGGCTTTTTAAGGCATCTGGCAGGGACATTTTATTTTTTGGTTAAAGCCACACTCGATAGAAATATCATCAAAACAAACATGTAAACAAGGTATCAGAACTTTGGTTCACTGAAATATCTCACACCTAAAAATTCTGAGGTACGAAGGCACCTGGCTAGGCACCAGACAGCCCGACTCTGCTCCAGCCACTAGGATCCCGCCTGTGGGGTGAAAGATGGCGCAGGCTGCCTGGAAGGCTCAATGAGGTCACATGGACCTGCCCCACTGCGATTGCCCTCCACTCCAGACAAGCATCCACTCGTCCAAAGACCCGCCTGATCGGAGCCGGAACATACAAAGGTGCCTGTCACGCTGAACTTGAAGATAACATGGGCTGTGGACCAGGAAGCAGAAGGCAGAACAGGACGTCAGTCAACTTCTGTTGATCCGCAAGGCCTTAAGAACTCCTGCCCTCGTTCATGAAACCACTTATTGGAGACTGCAAATAGAAAGAGGTGTGTTACAATCCGATTGATCAGTTCAGCCGTCGAAATGGACAACTCCCTGCACTGTGCCCTGGGAATCCGACATGGAAAGGCCTGGTCTCACGCCTCGATCTGCCCAGGAGCTACTCAGGAAGGCATGTGTGAACAGACTGGAGGGAGCTCCCGACAGGCTGCCCTGGCACATAACGCCTGAGTGGACAGCTACGTGGCTGGATGGTACCATCAATTAGCAGGAAGAAACCTCAGAAGGGAGACAACCTGGGTTTTGTACAAGTTTGGCAACCACTGTCTCCCAGCTCAGAGTCTAAGACTGACTATTAAAGCCCAGGCTGAGGCCATCAAAGCCAATACCATCCATTGTCCAAATTTCTACCAGTCACACAAGATATACGCGCAGGCTGCCAGGGGAACGGAGCCAGAGGGCATCTGACCATGGGAGACAGGACATTCTCAGAACAAATAAAATTTATTTTAATGCAATTCTGTCATCGTAGAGCTATTTAAATACAATGTAATATTAATGGTGGTTAATATAACCACCAACTATCACTATACAACCGAAAAAACTCAAGTTATTTACAAGGCTTATAATGATAAGCACAACCTCCTAAACCACTCTTTC